TGTTGAGAAATCGTAGGAATTTGCTCATCCGGTTTATATGTGCTTTGTGGACCTAGAGAAAGCCTATGACCGGATCCAGCGCCACAATCTATGGTCGTGCCTCGGAACATATGGGACCAATGGCCAGTTGCTACTGACCATCTAGTCACAATATACTAATAGGCTGCTGCGTCAGAGTAAATGGCGTTGAGTCCTGACTTTCAGCGTTGGCACTGGTCTCTGCCAAAGATTCATTCTGGCCCCTCTGCTGTTTGTTTTACATGTATGGAACAGTCAAGCGCAGCCGGAGAAATGAGTGTATCAGCATACGAGAAGTCGACACGAGAAGGTTGCTGTTTGCAGACGACCTTGTATTGTTGACATCGTCTGAAACTGATCTACAGTGCTCTATAGAAAGGTTCGCAGCCGAGTGCTACGTGGCCCCCATGCGTGTGAACGTATCTAAAACGAAAAGCCTACTGCCTTCTCGTTCTTCTGTCTGTTGCTCTCTTCAGATAAATGGAGAAGCAGTGGATGAGGTAGAGAAGTTCAAGTTTCTCGCTGTTGTGTTAACTGGTGATGGAGATTTTCAGGAGCGAGTCGACCGGCGGATTGAAGTATCCAGTGGAGTTCTGCGTGAACTAGCCCGAACCATTGTGACTGAAGCAGCGCTGAGTTCTAAAGACTAAGCTCTCGGTGTTCGAGTCGATCGTCACCCCCATGCTTATCTGAGGCCATGAGTTGTGGTCCATGACTCAGAAACTTTGATCCCGCGCACAAGCGACTGAAATGGGTTTTCTGAGACGAGTCACTGGCCTAGTGAATCTTGGCATGATCCGGAGTAGAGAAATCTAAGAGAGCATTGGTGTACAACCGCTGTTTCTTCAGATTGAGAAATCACAGCTGCGATAGTTTGGGCACCTGTTGCGAATGCTTCCAGACAGGAAGGTGAACAGCTTCCACTTGCCCAGTCGACCGGCAGAAAACCCAGTGGACGGTCAAGATTAAGCTGGTGGCAATATATTGAAGGAGTTTGCTCTAGACTCCGGTTGTCTTCTGCGGAATCTCGTACGTTGGCACAAGATCAGGAACGTTGACACGTCTGCCTCCGCGACCCGAAAAGAAAAGCGGCCATGGAAAGTGAAGTAAAGGGAAGTCTTGAAACTTCTTTTGCTGATCACCTTGTGATCTAAATAGCGGCACTAGTCACTGTTGACAAATGAACTAACGCTTTCTGGCTCTGATGGCTGAGTTTCTTTAGTGAGAATAAAATTTAATTAACAGATATCTTCATACATGTTCATTCGTTAATTCTCACGTTTCGCGTAAGTTTGTCTGTATGGTATGTTTATTATTTTTCTGGTTATTTAGGCGAACATAGTAACGCTTTTTGCTATGATCTAAAATATCTAAAAATGCCGCTTACAAGCACAACTGCTGTTGAACTATCATTTTCGATCAACTACAATAAACTTCCGAAACCGCCACATCGCTATAGGTTATTTGTGACTCTTCAAAATGTTTCCCTGACTCGCTTGGCCATGCATCATAATGCTCCTTACGGCCTGGTTATTGGCAGCACGCCTTTGCCTTCGATGAGCAAGTTTTTTGACGCCTTCCTGAGAGTAAACATTACGAACGCGGTGAAGCTTCTGCTTAGCCTTCACCAATGGCATGTGTGCTTCGAGGTCACCATCAAGTCTAACTGCGATTTCAGCTCTGTCAGCACAGAGGTCGTTGTAGATTCGCTATCGTTGAACAGCGCCAGCTTCCGAACACCGTTACTGGTATGCTATGCCCAATCGTTGGAGCGATACGCCGACCATCACAATGAATATAGGCGACGGCGAGATCTTCATGTTAACGAAAAAGAAATGTTTGAGTACGATCGTTCAGGTATTGGTACCTGTCGGTTGTACGAATGGTACGTTGACCTGAATGATATTGTGCCTTTAGAGATTATTCAGCCTCGTGGCTTTTATGCCAATTATTGCGCTGGCGTATGCCCGTTTCCAATTAACAGTATGAAGTGGAATGCCTCGAACAACGCATTGCTTAGGAATATGATACTGCATTCTTCACGACTACAGGAAGAAAAAAATTTGCCTGATGCCTTATGCGTACCGCATGTTTCTCATCCACTTTCTGTACTTT